ACTATTTGAGACGAAAGCAGCTGCGAGGAAAAGTCTCCTCAATAAAAAATAATCTCCAAAAAATCATAATAACATACCTTCCAGAGTTTCACATTGGACAAGATTTGCGTAATCACTTTGTGAAAGCAGTCCTGTTTTGAATCCACGGATAAGGGCTTCCAAATACCCATGGTCAATATTGAACATGAACTCACCCATTGTTTGGAATCTGCAAAGTCAGGTATGATAAAATAAAGAAAGTTAGAGCGTTTTTTCACAGCCAGAACAGCGGTTGATATGCAAAAAAATCCTTCTTCGTGATTGATAGAATGAAGCTCTTCCAAGTCGTTCATCTCATATGCGACGTTTCGGGTTTCAGGTCCTTCTTCAGGTCTCCAAGATCACACTCATAGATCTGCCTTTTGAAGAACACCGTGTACGAAGTGGAGTGTGCCATGTTCGGAATTCTACATCGGAGAAACTGGACGACCACTCTACAAAAGGCTCGATGAACATCTAAGGGCTTTCCGGGAACCCAGCCAGCTATCCGGATAACCCTTTCTCGAGACATCGTTCCTCGCGCCACACGAATGAGCGTGCCCCTGAACTCAAGGTGCGCGTGATCCACAGGAAGTGACCCGGTGGAGAGGAAAATAAAGGAAGCGCTGGAGATTCGAAGGAGGAATCCACCGATCAACAACAGGGAGGAGCTAAGAAGGACAATGGAGATCATTGCTGCACAATGATGTGACATAACTGGTGATACGTGACATATGACAAATAGCAGTGTATCAACTACTACCATCTTACCACTGCTTCACCAATCTAGCTGTGCCATTTCTAAAGGAAAGGACAGCTGGGGAGGTGAGTCAATGTTGCGTATTACTGTTTCTCACATCATCATAGACCATCTTGCAGCATACTCCCGGATCCTCTTCCACCCAGACCCTCCTTCCCGTACGAAGCCGGTCAAAGATTCGTTGATGGTTCCTCTTTGTATTTCTTGTCTATGTTTGTAAAATTGGGACGATGTGTGCGTAGGCTATGAATGTGTTTGTAGACCTGAAAAAGGGCTTAAAGCCCCAAACGTCGTCTATGCGATAAACGACTTTGACGAGTTTCATTCTATCATTCACAAAGAAGAAACAATACAGTGAAGTTCAGAAATCCTCTCGTATTGCAATGAATCTCATTAAACGACCAAATGTTCAAGTGTAGATTCCCAACGAGTCACGATGTTGACGTAATCGGGGGGAAGGGGGGGGAAGTCGCTTGGTCGCGCCTCTTTATCCTTTTCCCAAGAAGGCTAAGGCCGAGAACGCTGACTACCAGAGTCGCCGAGAGATAGCTTTTCGCAGAGAATACAGTCTTCAGTGAGCGTGGGAGCGTAAGATTTGATTAGATTAAGGGATAGAAGCGCCGAAGAGTGCCCTCCCCCCTTCCAACCGCAATAGCGCCCGATCCACTACCTATCTTCAGCAATGAACATCTTCAAACGCTCATGTCTCTTAGAGATAGGACACCTGGAGGGCGTACTCGGAAACATGAGCACGGTGACCTTCCCCCCCCCCTCCGAATGAATTAGCTTTTTTTATTTTGATAAAAGAACCTATGCAGACAGATACTACTCTTCCATTGTGTTCGACCTAGATGGAATATAACTTCAGATAACATTGTTCTATAAGAGCAGTCATGTAAATGGCCCTCCACTAGGCGGGGTAAACGGTGGTTTGCTTACGAGATTTACTGCGAACCCACTGATCCCATTCAGAAATTACTCCAAAAGCCTGGAGCTGTTCCAGTTCAGCTGATCTTTTGTTGCAAAGCACCGGAGGCATTCAGAACTACAGATAACTTTTCGAGATAATTTTTGGAAAAAGTAAAAACCCAGCTGCAAGGTTTCATTCATGCACGCACGAGGTGAAGGGCAGCGCCTTTGCCTACAGCGAGGCTCGTGTCGGAGCGCAAACGACCAGAGTCGCAGCGCAGAGCACAAACTCTAAGCGACTCTCGTCATCTGCGCTCTAAGCCTAACAAGGGAGGTCGTTCAGGTCGTGGTGAGCTTTTCAAAAACGGTTTGTTGCATGATGTAGGGGTCCATGCAAGGACCACACAGATGGGGTTCATTTTTGCTAAACGGTATTGGGAATGCCAAAAAGGGGTCGAAAAATTTGAAAGATTGGGCTATTTGAACCACCTTATTCAGCTCCGTTCTAGCTGTATCGTTGAGAGTGTATAGTTTATGAGGTGAACTTTGAGTAGACATGAAAAACAAGGCAGAAGAAAGGTCAAATCCAAGTACTTTACCTGGCATGTGGTGAGCTACATTGAAGTTTCATCGTCATCCCCGCATGCTTCTTCAATGGCTCCCGCATCTCACCCGTCGCAGTGGACGGATGGTGTAGTGGATAGTGCGACGGACTCTCAATCTACGGTGCCAGGTAAAGTACTTGGATTTTGACCTTCTTCTGCGTTGTTTTTCATGTCTACTCAAAGTTCACCTCATAAACTATACACTCTCAACGATACAGCTAGAACGGAGCTGAATAAGGTGGTTCAAATCGCCCATCTTTTCAAATTTTTTCGACCTTTTTTGGCATTCCCAATACCGTTTAGCAAAAATGAACCCCATCTGGTGGTCCTTGCATGGACCCCTACATCATGCAACAAACCGTTTTTGAAAAGCTCACCACGACCTGAACGACCTCCCTTGTAAGCCTTGGCTAGGGAAAGAGACGCGAATGCGCTGGAACGTGGCCCTACCCTACTATCAAAGTCCACGTTTAATCGAAATCAAGCAAGGCTGCAACACTTTTACTTCCCAACAGAAGGCAGTGCAACAGTTTGTCAGTTTACGGTAGTCTCACTTCTGCATGAAGATCCGTCTCTGAAGCTACAAAACGTCGCGAACTTTACTTCCCTCTACGATTTTTAAATGCTGGGAGATGCAGAAGAACGATTGTAATCAAGAGGGTGAGCACTTTAACCTAACTTATGGGGAGAGGGAGCTTCGGGGTGATTTTCTACGTGCACAAATAAACCTTTTCCAGGTAAACCTAGATGAGTCATGGCATGATCGATAAGAAAATCACCACGGTCGGATACCAGTGGTCGGTAGGAGAGATCTTTCTAGAACTAAAAATTCTATCTATATCATTTTCTCATTGGGAGAAGAAGCAAGTGAAGGTGACCTTCTAAACCATTTATAAATAAACATCTTATAACAATCTTGCATTGGGCTGTCCCGAAACCTTGTCGTGAATTACAGCTACACAAAAACGCACCAAAAACTTATAAAGTAATCCGAATATCTTAAAAATGACATTTGGTGTGTCTGCGTGATATCTGTTCGCAGTGCGGTATTTTTCCTTGACGAATGGAACAGCGAAAAGGAAAAATAAAAGCTGTGGAAAAGAGAAAAATAAAAATACGTGAACAGGCAGAACTACACTGCCCACACATAGCCACGAAGATCAAAACGATCAATAAAAAAGGGCCACCAAATATCTGGCCACCCGGTGAAAAATGCGCGACGAACGAGAATTGGCCGCAAAGCATCGATCGCTGGTCTTTGACGAGCCTGATTCAGGGCGAGCGCCACGTTCAAACGTGGTTTACGCCCCCCGCGCCGTCAGCACGGCGATCGCGGTCGGGGGTGGGCACTCGGCTCGTTGTGGTTGTGTGACGGTGGTCTGGGAGGATCGACGAGCGCACTCTGCTCGGATGTACCCGGCATGGACTGCATCGCCCGGGTGTTTACGGTCGGAAACGGCTGCAAAGCGGTTCGTTACGACGACGAGACCACCGTCGAGGTGTGTTTTTACTATCGGTTTCCCTTTCCGGGCCTTGCACGTTCATGCGTATAAATTTATTTTCTTTTTTCTCTTTTCACCAAGTTCGAGCTCTTTGCCCTCTTTCAATAGCAACTTGGAGATGTTTTGTTCTCTGGAGGCAAGTCGGCTATGAGTGAGCATTTAAAATACCTCCGTTCAAGTCCTGGATCAACACAGAACACCTTTTTGTACAGAAAAAAACTGATTCTTCTCCCATTGAACTCCTTCTCTCCCAGTCTTCGACAAAATACTCTTCTTCTTCACAGCAATTTCTTTTTTTTTTGCTCAAAAAGCCTTTTCATGCCCCCTCCAACCGAACCGGGCTAGTTTTTTTCCATATTTTTATTGGTTTCTAAAGACTTCTAGATTTTTCTTTTCACATTTTTTTCCTCTGAGAAACTGAACTATTCAGTTTATCTCATTCTCACTGCTTCTCACCTTGGTCGATTGATTTTAGGCTCGAAAATCAATATAATCAAATTAATTTGCTAAAAAAAATCTGAAGCAAGATTATATTACACTTTTCGAGATGCGACTATAACCAGATTGCTTCTAAGGGCACAGTAGGGCCAAGATGCAGAGAGGAAAGGACCCGGCAGTTCCCGTCCTTCTCGAGTTTCGACGGAATATTTCGGGTGATTTTCTCGTTCTCTTTCACTCGGTGATTAAAGTTTTGGCCAAGAAGCCTTCAAGTGCCCCACCACCCAAGGCAAGTCGTTTAAGAGGGGACATTTGAAATAGCTCCGTTCAAGGTCTAGATCACCACAGAACACCTTGACTCAGTTTTTTTTATTTGCTTGCGTTTTTTCACATTCTCCTTTTCGAAGAAACTGATTAAATATTATTGATACTGTATTCGATTTATACAATTAGCTGCCTTCACTTTTATTTCGAATTATGATGTAGAGTCAATAGAAAATATTCAATAATTAGCAGTCAGTATTAGCGTGAGTACCATTGTAAGGACTAACTCCACTGCCAGGCGCGATTTTCATTAAAAGAGGGGGCGTTTAATGGGGCACTCAGAACATTTGAATCCACCGCGTGAATAGTAGGGCTTCGGCTTTACTTCGGGAGCAGAAGTTTTGGGACACTCTTGTGGGCCAGAAGGGTTCCTCCAATGCAGTTGAAATGCTCACCGAAAGCCCGTTATGAGCAAAATGGAATGTTTTGGGCGCAATCGAGTGAATGATACGGGAGGGGGGGCGGCTTTAAAGGACTTTTTTGGTAAATTCGGGGGTGTCATAGTAGAGAGGATTCTCTTCAGTGGAAGGAATTCGAAGGTCGATTGAATCACAGTACTATCGGAGTACTGAGAAGGTTTTGATTATTGTAGGTTTCATGAGAAAGAGTTTTAATTGCCCCCCCGCCGTGTCTACTTGCCGGACATGTTTGTGGAGTCTCTTATTGCCAAGCATTTAGATCCATTGGGATAGGCTCTTACAAATCAATAGTTTATCAACATTGCTTGACTTAATCGGCTGTAAAAATCGATAGGCATCAACTGTTTGGAGGGTCATGGTTGTTTGGGTGCCAAAGGTTAACCCATTAGTGGCCAGTGTCGTGCCCACCACCCGTACTGGATGTAAACCTGGCCCTGATCACGTTGGAAAATTGTAAAATCGTCGGGGATAATGGACCTCTCCCCATTTGGGTGTCTGCCATGGAGGTAAGGCACCTCATCGCGCTGCAAGAATATTCTTTGCAGAATTCGACCCCCCCCCCTAGTTTTTTTTTCGTTGTAACGACTTCTTCCAGAGGCAGCCTGTATTTTACCATCTTTGGCAAAAGTTTCCAAGTGGTTATCGCGGAGGGGATAGTCTTGTTTGCTGCGGATGCTGGGGCGTATCAAGGGGTTGGATTTGGCGCTCCACTAGCCGCTTCTGCACCAAGTGTGGTCATTTGTCGGTTTCCTTGGTGGAAAACGGACTGGTACCGCGCCAAACGTAGACAACTGGAACGTATTAGCATCCACAGCGAACACGACTGTATATAGCTTGCATGAAACGGGAAAAATCGGAAACGAGGAAGATCCAGTATTCGGTAACTTCTTCTTGATGTGGAGTACAATTCCCCCTCCCAGTGCTAAATACGACCCTCCATAATGATGATAGGCCCTGATTGAAGGTCGTCGCAAATGGGTTGGAAAATTAGGCCAAGAATGTCTGTTGGGGCTGAGGCAGATGGGAGATGGCAATGGTAGGGAATTAAGCAGTGGTGGAAGGGGTAATCGAATAAAAACATGGTTCTGCCAATCAATTGTCCGTCTCATTCTCAATAGCATCGTCTTCGTCAGCCTCTGTGAGTCGCACTCGCAGACTAAAGTGCGATGTTAGAACATCGTCATTTGCAGAATGTTTGCATTCCACTTCCCTGGTCGAGCTTTCCCCCGACAAGACAACAACTTGGCCTTGCTAAACATACAGTCAGGCTATAGCGTCATTCTGCAGAACCCATCCTGAAGCCGGGAAAGGGAGGGGCGGGCGGGGAGTGGGAGCCTCTATTGGGCAAGTGGCTTAGCTTGAGTGAGTTTTGTTTCAGAACTTCATTTAAGATCTCCATACTACTGCTCCAAATTTGCCGCTTTTGCTCGAAAAGATCGTAAAAGAAGATGAACACCAAAGTTTCTCCGATACGTGCTCTTTAATCAAAATTACAGTTCATGCTCAGCATGTGGGCGGGGCCGGTCCCACCATTGTGCCTCCCTCATTGGTGGACCTGATTCTCAGATTAGCAAAGAGAAGAGGTGTCGGTTGTGGGTGGAGGAGGGGGTGCTCCCAAAAAGAAATCTAATCCATCTCGATGCCGTGTCTTGCATATAGATTTCTATAGGATCTAACCATTAACCAACGGTAATAGCCTTGGAGGGGGGCATTCAAAGGACTCCTTGCTACAAAATAGAATAACGAATACTTGAGACTCCCATTCCAAGCCTAAAGGATTAAAGAGTCAGTGCCAGCGGTTGAAATCAATTTCCACTGCGGTAATTTAATTCAGGATGACGTTTATCCCGATTTCGCCTGCCCCCTCCAAGGTTGTGAGCTTCCATTAACTATTACTATTTAGTTGACTGCATCTGTTTTCACTATCGTTAATGTGTGTGGTGTGTTTTTATCGTGGGGGGTGTATGTGGAGAGATATCAATCAAGCAAGTTCGCCATATGTTCAGTATTCAATGTCACCTTCGGGCATTTTTCCAGTGTAATTTGCCGCCACCTGCGGGCGGTTCTTGAAGTGCCTGACATGACGGAGATCAGCCCCATCTTGGCACATTTACGGATTTATAGTGACTATTTTAATAGCACGTCTTGTCACTTACCATCCATGCTAAACGTTTGGGGAAATTGGTGTGGAACCCACCTGTATGAGTAGGATATGCTTTTTGGCCGGAACTGCTCGCCTATCCTTGTTTTAGAAAGAGCTGACCGAAAAGCCGTTGTGTGCACTGACTTAGCTTCTAAGCCTAAGTATTTGTTAGGCGAAGGGAAATAGATCGCAGCGCCGTGTGGAACCCTAGTGCCCCCCCCCCTCCCCCGGCTAGATGAGATGAGGATTTTTCGTCAGTGGCGCTGGATGAGCGAGTTCTAGGTGGACCATTTCTGCCCCACCTCACTGGAACAGCGTCAAAATCGGCACCTGCATTCGGGATAAGGGTACAGAATCATTAGGAGAATCACCATGTCTTGAAAGGATTTCTTCCTTTCACGGATTTTCCCTTCTCAGGCGCGCTATGTAATACCTCTCCTCCTGTCTTCGTGAGTTTCTGGGAAGTTTCTGAGCATTTGGGAGAATTTGGGAAATTATAGGTAGACTGTGTGTTACAAGGCTTTTGTCAACCTGATATTCTCTCGTGTGAGGGTCCAGAGGTATTTTCTCATCGCATCTTCTGGCCGAGCATTTGAAGGGAGGAAAAATGACGAAGAGGGAAGAGAGGAGGAAGAAAGGAAGGAGGGAGCTTCCCGAATTAACAAGTATCTTGAGACCTTTTTTACAAGTTTTAAGCTGTTATTGTTTGATAACTGCTGTTTAACGCCGCAGTGCGCGATCCGAAAGTTATCACAAGAATGCTGAGTTATGGGCAAAAGTCGGACCACGGACGGGATTCGAACCCGCATCTTCTGCTTACCGGACAGCTGCGTTCCCTATTATCTATCTTGAGACTCGTGTCGTAGTGACACCACCCTTCCTCCCAGATACTGTATCCTGGTTTTGGTTGTTCACCTCAGCCAGTATCTTCGAGGTTGTTCATATGACCCCACCTGATACCGGAACGTTGTTTACTTTTGTGCCGATTGTAACCGTTAGATGGTGGTCGTGACCCCAACAGATACAAGGCCTGCTCCCAAAGCGTTCTACTGTCACCCCGCGTCAGACGGACAAGAGAATCGTGATTTGCCGCTTCGCCGCGCGCGGCGATGATCGCGGCGTTTTTACTCGTGTTAACCTGTCGATTGGAGCACCAGGTTTCACGTGGGCTATGAAGTTGTGTGACTATTTTCGGTTCCACATTGTCTGTTGTTGCCATATACGGCCTGGGGCCATCGTCATTCGCGGGCGCGACGTCGCACGCGACTCCCATCAGCGCGGCGAGTTACGACTCTCTGCATTGTTCACCCTTGGTTTGCTGAGTGTATAGGCTCTAGAAGCCTGTTTTTACAGTTAGAAGGCTGTACCAGCGTACTAACTACTACAAATTGACCAGATGCGTTCGACTTATTGCTGAAGTCCCACAGTGATGTTTCTCACGCTGGTTTGCCCATAGAATGGCTAAAGTGAACTGCTGAAGTGGCACATTAAACTGGCTTTGATGTGCTTCCTCTCGAAAAAGCGCTCGTGGGAACTACGTCACTGGTGACGGTTGTTCTAGTTTGTGTCTTGTACCCAAATATCGATCGGCTGTACGAATTTCCACAGTTTCCTCCGTAACAAAACGTACCGTTTGTTTCCTTTTTCCTTGGCATCCGGTCGAGGGGCGTGAATATTCATATGCGGACTTTCTGAAACATCAAGGGGGCACGCCAGGGTAATCTCGTAGGGAACTTGAGGCGGCTATTCGGCTGGAAGGGCTTGCACATTGCTAAGTTCCAGTCCAATATACAGGCGGAAGGCTCAGCTATTGCTAGTTCACAGGAATTCACAGGTGCCCACAGGAGACATCGGCAGTGTTTCGATGAGAACTAGCAAAATGCCCCACCAGGCCGAATTGCGCCAAACTTGATCTTTGTGATCTTTGTTTGTATGATATTTCGATTTACTGTTGTTTTCTTTTCACATTCTCTCTAAGCGTTTTTTGCGTTTAGGAAAGCGCGCGTATGAAGCCGCTACAACAGGGCACATTACTTTTGGCCTTTCCCGGGTTGTAGCGCCATGACACAACTAATCCGTCCAGTGTGAAAACGCCAAGGGTGCAGAAACTCACTCGGAAATTTGGGGCCACGCTGTGGGCGTGATCATTGCCCACGTTTCGGTTTAAAGGTGTGGGCACGATGACTGTGGGCGGGCGGTTAATGCTGACGCCATTGGCGGAAAGGCTGCGAGTAGATGTTAAGCCAAGCCCTTCCGAAAATGAATGTTGGAGTAACCACCCGCCCCCTTCCATCGTGCCCACTGCTTTTGAGCCTTGAACTCTGGTTCCGTTATTGCGTACGTTCATTGTACTATCTACGTTATAAGTTAAAATATGGAAGTTCACTGGATACCCCTCGCCGCTTAGGCCGGAATCCTCTTTGTCTGAACAGTTTCTGAGGTTTTCGCTTCAGTGCAAACTTCAGGGCGTTTGTTTGCTTGGAAACATTTCACTTTTCCTTGTTATTCACTTCAAAACATCAGAAGGGCAACATTCCGATCACGAAAATTGATACTGCACCTGGGACAGCTGTTGCTTTTTTATGTGGGGTACTTATGAAAGTCCACTAATTCATTCAATCTTTTCTGTATTAAACGATTTTTTCATGAGATTGTGGTTTAGGGGGGAGTGGCGAGACGGACAAGACAATCATAATTTGTCGCGTCGTCGCGCGCGGTGTACCGGGTGGCGACGCGCGGCAAATTCTCAGTGTGCGTCGTTTTGTCGATTGGAACAGCGAAACTGTATGAATTCAAGCGGAGTGAAGACTCCACGACCAGCGATATTGGTTTTTTCTCCTCTTTTACCCACAAATTCAAAGGGCCACACAGGACAACTCGTCCTCAGAGCGCAGCGTCGCTCGCCACGCCCACCAGCGCGGCGAATCACAATTGTCTTGTCACATACCCAGGAGGGGTACAATATAACCGAGAAAGAACACGTATTGGTTGGGATTTCAAAGCAAAGACAGTGCCTTCGTCCGTCTCTCGCTTGCAAGGTTGTTTCAGGCAGTGCCCATACTTCCCGATTCGAGCCTCTAGTCGCTGGTGGATTCCAAAAATCACGAGGTTGCGACTGCCCACGCTCCGCCGCTTATCATTGCTCTGCTGTAACCGCTAGTTTACCCTCAAAAAAAACAGGATAGAACTTTTTTGAAACGTTGTAGGTCCAAGGATTAGCTGTGGAGCACGGTCATCGCGCGACCGAGTAGACTGAATCGGGAAGTATGAAAGCGGAATCAATTTTTCGGGTCACTCATCAACGATCCCTATGAGTCTGAATACCTTCACGGATTCTAATGAGTCTGAATTCCTCATTCTTCGACTTCTATGTACCCTGTTAGCAGTCTAGTTAAATTGATTTATTTGTAGCAGACATTGTGTAGTGGCAAGTGGCGCCGCTAACCAATTGAACGGTTTGATAACTAAACTTCCGGATTGACTCCTGCCCGTTCCAACCAGGCCTTCCATACCTCCGGATCCGGTGAATCTGGGACGATTCGTATGAGAGGGTGGCACTGACTTAGTCATCGAGTGCTGCGTCAACGGCGGAAGATTCATCCCTCTATCCATTACTCATTCCAAGGAGCTGTCATTTTTTTCGATTTTATTCGATTATTGATTTTCCTCCTCGGCTATACGATACCACTCGGTAATTGAGTGCTGTCATTCACCGCAGTGTTTTGCTGATTTTTTTTGCAAAAATCAGCTCAGCCTCCACTTTTTTTTGAAGTCCGCACAGGCGCAATTCGGTTTGGGAGGGGCATTTCGCACTTCCGCTAGTTACATTTGTTAGTTCATGTAACTTGCAGGTCTCGTTTTGATAAGACATGTAGACTCTTGTCCAAATGTAAACTATGCTTCTACTCTTGCTTAGCTTCACAGAATTCACAGGTCTTCTAC